GTGGAATAATAGACACTGCAGATTCGGAAAGGTGGCAGGGTGGAAGCGGATAAGGAATGAGAAATTACCGAATAGATACAACGTACACGATGCAAGCAATGGCTACAGGAAAAGCCCAGGCTTCACTGCTAGGAAATACATCCAAGTAACAAAACTGTTCTTGCACCCCTAAACCTAAAAAACTAACACAAAAATTTAATGTATGGGAGCCCATGGTTTTGGACTGAGCTCCTGCGCTCAGCCCCAACAGACCAAACCAAAACAGATCACTCCTGGCTAACTGCCTGGTAATCAGTCTGAACTTTGAAACTGACCAGTTTTCCAAAAAACAGGAGACTCATAGCAACCAATCAGAAGGGGTCCAGTTTGCCTGAGCGAACCTGATAAGAAAGTTGCGTCTGTTTTAACCCTATAAGGAAAGTCACTTTGAAACTGTGAAGCTGGTCTTTGTCCCTTGTTTCTGCTTCCTTCAGCCCTGTGCTGTCTATAAAGCCGAGCTCCTCTCTGCTCAGCTCTTTGGAACATCCATTCTATTTTATAGGATGAGGTGCTGCCTGATTTTAGAATTGTAAATAAAATCCAATTAGAGTTTTAAACTAAATTTGCTGTGATTTTGTCTTTTGACACCACCCTCCATGGTCCACACCCAAATCTTCTTGGGTGTTGACCTGTGGACACCAGGGAAGAGGTATCACTTCCCTGCCTCTGTGTGTGCAGAAGAGTCAATGGGTAACCAGGAAACATCAGGCCACCAAGGGTCCCAAAGATGCCAAAATCCAAAGCCAAAAGCTCTACAAGATAATGGAATGCTCAGCCTTATTTTATTTTGTTTATATATTTTTTGAGACAAAGTCTCGCTCTGTTGCCCAAGCTGGAGTGCAGTGGTGTGATCTCAGCTCACTGCAACCTCCACCTCCTGGGTTCAGGCGATTATTCCACTTCAGCCTCCTGAGTAGCTGGGACTACAGGAGCACACCACCATGCCTGGCTAATTTTTTTGTATTTTAGTAAAGATGGGATTTCACCATGTTGCCCAGGCTGGTCAGGCAATCTCAGAGCTCAGGCAATCCCCACCTCAGCCTCCCAAAGTGCTAGGATTACAGGTGTGAGCCACCGAGCTGGCCTGGTTTTATTTTTTTTAATTTTTGTAGAAGCAGTCTCATTATATTGCCCAGGCCGCTCTCAAACTCCTGGGCTCAAGGGATCCTCCCACCTCAGTCTCCCCAAATGCATGAGCCACTGCACCAGGCTTCAGCCTCATTTTGATATATGTCGTTTCCAACAGGCTGGAACACTCAGGTTTTGACATAATTTGTTCATCCAGCCAACCACCAGAGGCAGCAGGCAATAGCGCACATGTGTAAGGCCTGACTCCCTGAAGATTCTTTGACGTGGGATTCTCACTGCAGTTCATTAGATGCAACAAACACACATGGGCCTCCTCTGTCAGAGGCTCCTGATTCTGGGGCTGGGACTGTTCGTTGAGGAAATGCCAGCATCTCAGGAGGCACCAGCAGAACCACCAACATTGCCCCTGAGTGCTAAAATTCTAAATTCTCGACTCTTAAAAAGCACACAGACTGGGGACAAAAGAACTACCTGGATGTCAGTCAGCTTTAGGGCCACAGGTCACACCTCAGGAGTCTGGTGCAGCTTCCTCATTCTTTTTTTTTTTTTTCTTTTTTTTGAGACAGATCTGCCTCTGTTGCCCAGGCTGGAGTGCAGTGGCGCAATCTCAGCTCCCTGCAACCTCTGTCTCCTGAGACTAAGTGATTCTCCCCCCTCAGCCTCCCTAGTAGCTGGGACTATAGGTGCACACCACCAAAACCGGCTAATTTTTATATTTTTTTTATAGAGATGGGGTTTTGTCATGTTGTCCAGGCTGGTCTTGATCTCCTGAGCTCAAGCAATCCACCTACCTCGGCCACCCAAAGTGCTGGAATCACAGGCATGAGCCACCAGGCCCAGCTTTAGCCTCTTCATTCTAAAGATGAGAAATTGGAGGCTCAGAAAGGGGAAGGGACTCATCCTAGGTCATGCAGCACATCACTCCTCCCTGCACCGTGTCAAAGCCCTTTGAATTCCCCACAATCCACATGTCATTCAGCTCCACTTTCACTGCCTCTCCAAGATCCCTCTGTCCCTCCTGCCAGCCCTTTGCTGGAACAAAGTAAGGATAAAAGATTTATCTACAATGCTAGGTTTCTATACCATGAAGACATGAGGGCAGGAAATTCAATCAACATTTTGATTTCATTTTCCCTAAAAGATAGTTAAGTAGGCAGGGTGCGGTGACTCATGCCTGTTATCCCAACACTTTGGGAGGCCAAGGTATGCAGATCACTTGAGGTCGGGAGTTCAAGACCAGACTGACCAACACCGTGAAACCCCATCTCTACTAAAAATATAAAAATTAGCTGGGCGTGGTGGCACGCACCTGTAATCCCAGCTACTTGGGAGGCTGAGGGAGGAGAATCACTTGAACCTGGGAGGCAGAGGTTGCAGTGAGCTGAGATCATGCGCCTGCACTCCAGTCTGGGTGACAGAGTGACACGCCATCCCAAAAAAAAAAAAAAAAAAAAAAGATAGTTAAGTATCTTTCGCTTTTATAAATGCACCAGCTCAGAAAAGCTGTGGTTTAAGCTCAAACCAGTAAAGACCCCTCAAAACGGTGATAGGAAGACAGTGGGTGGAAAGGCAGAAGACTTGCCCCCTTTCGATTTATCATCTACCAATATGGATGCTTTATTCTCTTGCCAACCACCTGAGACATATTAGTTCATTTAATCTTCACAACTATTTTGGCATCCAAGACTCAGGAAATAGTAATAATCATCATCATGTTGTTATTTTGTCAAGTTTGTTGGTTTGATATATTCTTTTTTGTTTTTGTTTTGAGACAGGCTCTTGCTCTGCTCCCCAGGCTGGAGTGCAGTGGCATGATCAGAGCTCACTGTAACCACAGACTCCTGGTTCATGCAATCCTCCTGCTTCAGCCTCTCAAGTAGCTGGAACTACGGGTATGCACCATGATGTCTGGTAAATTCTTAATTTTTTAATTTATTTTTAATTTTTTTTTTTAGAGATGGGGTCTCAGTATGTTGCCCGGGCTGGTCTTGAACTCCCGGCCTCAAGCAATCCTCCTGCCTCAGCCTCCCAAAATGCTAGGATTACAGGTGTGAGCCAGCACACCTGCCTGTATTATCCCATTTAATCCCTTCACATTACACAGAGGTACTGAGGCCTGGAGAGGTGAAAGGTCATGCCCAAGGTCACACACTAGGGGGTGGCAGAGCAAAAGGTTGAACCCAACTCCATCTGACTCCACAGGCTGTGTTCTTTGTACTAGAGTCTAAGACTTCCTCTTCCCTTAATCTTTCTAGAAACACTCTTCCCCTGAAAATTGTCAGTATTGGAATACTTTTCTCTTCCTTGTACTCTATCATCTTCTACTTCTAGCTACCAGGGTTAAAAAATCAAGCTCACTGCTAACATGGACGCGTGTGGAAGACCACCTCTAGATTTTTCTCATTTGGGCAGAAAGAGTACAAGGGATGCTTAAAATAATAGCCAATAAAACTCCACTCCAGAGGAGAAAAACACACTGGAGGGAAGAAATATGGGAATGAGAGCAGAGAGGTTCACTCTGGCAGGTGAAGTTTTGGTTGGCAGCTCTTTTCTTCGCTTTGTTCTCCTGTATTTCCCAAGTTTTCTGCCTAGAAGTGCTGTGTTTCGTTTGTCATTTGGCGGTGGCAGAGGAGAAGGTAGATAACAACAACAATAACAAGGCCACTGACTGCAGCCCCTGGGATAGTTCCGCCCACTGTGAAACTACAGGCATGCATTTCTAACAGTCAAATTGATGGCGACCTTTAGAGTGTTTGAGTTTCTGCTTTACAGGCATCACTGGGGGAAGGCTGGTTTTTCAGTTGTCAGTACCTGCTGAATGAATGAACGAAGGTGAATGAATAGGGCGGGTCTGGTAACTCATGCCTGTAATCCCAGCACTTTGGGAGACCAAGGCAGGAGGATTGCTTGAGTCCAGGAGTTGGAGACCAGCCTGGGCAACCTGGTGAGATCCCCATTTCTACAAAAATTTAAAAATTAGCTGGGTGTCGTGGCACACACCTGTAGCCCCAGCTACCCAGGAGTGCATTGAGGTGGGAGGATTGCTTGAGCCCAGGAGTTTGAGGTTGCAGTGAGCTAAGATCCTACCACTATACTCAGCCAACAGAGTGACACAGTCAGACTCTGTCTCACAAAAATAAAAAAAAATTGGAAAAAAAAAATGAATGAATGAATCAATGTCTCTTCAGGAGACAGAGAGAACTGCCCCTCCCTCTAGACTACCATCACAGCTTGTGGCTCTTGCCAGCCCTGGCTCATTCAGCTTAACTTATAACTAGTTACATACAAGGTCATCTTCCTCAACTAGGCTGAGGTCTTCTAGAAAGTCAGTTTCATGAAGCCCTGTGCATGCAGTAGATGCACAAGGAATGATTTCTTTCTTTCTTTTTCTTTTTTTTTTTTTAGACAAGGTCTCCCAGGCTGGAGGGCGGTGACACGATCTTGGCTCACTGCAACCTCCACCTCCCGGGTACAAGCAATTCTCTTGCCTCCGCCTCCCAAGTAGCTGTGATTACAGGCGTGCACCACCATGCCTGGCTAATTTTTGTATTTTTAGAATAGTCGGGGTTTTACCATGTTGGCCAGGCTGGTCTTAAACTCCGGACCTTAAGTGATCCGCCTGCCTCGGCCTCCCAAAGTGCTGGGATTACAGGCACGAGCCACTGCGCCCAACCTCCAGTAATGATTTTGAAAGGAGGGAAGGAAGGAAGAAAGGAGGCTTCCAAGAAGGCTCGTGTCTTCTGTGTTTGTGCATAGCCACCCTTGAAGTGTTGGCATCAGCAAATGACTTGATGGTTGGGCATGGGTTGGGAAGGGTGTGGACCCCACCTGAACTCTGCACTCCTCGGTTACAAGAAGAAAAGGCATGTTACCTCATAGTGGGGATGCGGGTCTCAGGTTCACCTGCGGTCAGAGGAGCCTCCAGGGTCAGGGATCCCAGGCTGGCCCGGCTGCCCTTCCGGGGAGTCTCACGAGATGAGCCAGTAACAGAGTCCTCGTCAGAGGAGCAGTCATCAAAAGAGCCCAGGATGAAGCTGGTCATCAGCTGCCTCTTGATGTTTGCCTGCTTCTTGTCTTCTTTGGAGGGGGAGCTGGCTTGCTGGCCCTGGGGCCTGGCTGGGGAGGACAGGCCATTGGTATCTGGGGCCTCCAGGCCCTGTGTCCCGGTCCCATTGGCTTGGAGCTCTGGGGAGGGTGCTGCATCATTGGAAGAAATGGGGTTTTTTGGGGGCTTCTGGTGGGAGGGTGGCAGGGAGTTCCTCCGCCAACCGGCACCTTTGGGGCCTTTGTGGGAGGCTGGCTCGGCCTGGCTGGGAGTCTTGGGCAGAGAGCGGCCCTCCTCATTTCTCTGCGGTGTCTCCCCTAAGTTTTCAGAGTCTGGAAAGGGCTCCTGGCTTGGGATGAAGTTTGCTTCTGACTTGCTCTTGGTGATCGGCTTGGAGTCCGTCATTTTCCCCCAGATTTTTAACCAGGAAAAGGTCAGACAGGAGAAAATCAGACAACATAGGAAAAGAAGCAAGACCATTCAGAAAATCTGTAAGGAGAAAAACAGAGACATTTTAGGGTTTACATAATCAAGTGATTTATCTACTAAAGAAGCTAGTGGGACAGGAGGCTGCTGGGGTGCTGTGCATTCCAGAAACACTGGACGGGGGAGAGATGGGGTTCTCCTCCTAGCTCTGCCTGTAACATGCTTGGACATATTCCTTCACCCCTCTGGATCTTAGTTTCCTGCCTCTAATTTAGGTATAGTAACACTAGCTCAATGTACATCATAAACATGCATGTGAGTGAGAACTAAATGAGATAATGTACGTTAAGGGACTTCATTCTGACAGCATTATTCATAATGTTGAAATGTGAAAACAGCCCAAATATCCATTAACTGATGAATGTAGAAACAGAATTGATTGATCTGTGGATAAACAGGTGGATCCAAACAATGGAACATTCTTCAGCCATAAAAAGAAGGCTGGCTGGGCACAGTGGCTCAGACCTGTAACCCCAACACTTTGGGAGGCTGGGGTGGGTGGATTGCTTGAGGCCAGGAGTTCCAGACCAGCCTGGGCAACATGACAAAACCCTATCTCTACTAAAAGTACAATAATTAGCCAGGCATGGTGGCCCAATCCCAGCTACTTGGGAGGCTGAGGCATGAGAATCACTTGAACCCAGGAGGTGGAGGTTGCAGTGAGAGAACAGGAGAAGGAGAAGGGAAGGAGAAGGGAAGAGAAGGAGAAGGAGAAGGGAAGGGAAGGAGAAGGAGAAGG